ACCTTCCAACAAGACTATGACCCTAAGCACACAGCTAAAATAATGAAGGAGTGGCTTCACAACAACTCTGTGACTGTTCTTGAATGGCCCAGCCAGAGCCCTAACTTAAACCCAATTGTGCATTTCTGGAGAGACCTAAAAATGGCTGTCCACTAACGTTTACCATCCAACCTGACAGACCTGGAGAGGATCTGCAAGGAGGAATGGCAGAGGATCCCCAAATGCAGGGGTGAACAACTTGTTGCATCTTTCCCAAAAAGACTCATGGCTGTATTAGATCAAAAGGGTGCTTCTACTAAATACTGAGCAAAGGGTCTGAATTCTTAGGACCATGTGATATTTCAGTTTTTCTTTTTTAATAAATCTGCAAAAATGTCAACAATTCTGTGTTTTTCTGTCAATATGGGGTGCTGTGTACACATTAATGAGGGAAAAAAATTTACTTAAAATGATTTTAGCAAATGGCTGCAATATAACAAAGAGTGAAAAATTTAAGGGGGTCTGAATACTTTCCGCACCCACTGTGCAATGGCACTGGTGTAAACACCAGACACACCCAGGATGTTGAGCAGTCAGTGGTGGTTAAAGAGAGCTGTAACCATAGTGAGTTTTAAATAGGCTTTGTTAACATTTTCCAGTCCACACAAGTTCCTTTCCATGTATGATTTAACTCTCTGCTGCCTGAGGTCCTCTATAGTGGACACATCTATTAAAGCCATTTTAACCGTTGAGATTATTACAAATTATCCATACTTGTAATTCTATATAAATAGGTGCGTTCATTCCATGTCGGAATTATGTAATTACAAGATTCTGACCATGGCAATGTCATGTGGAAATGTTCAAAAATAGCAGCGGCATTAAAATGTAGTTAAGTAGTGATTTCATAATATTTCTGTTTATAATTGCTATAATTGACTGTTGTTAATATTTTAATGGAAGATTTTTCTGAAACTAAACTAAAGACATACAATACAATCAAATGTAGCTAGCACAGAGTTAAATTAAGCTAAACTCACTATAAGTTGATTAATAAGGTATTTGCATAATGACTGTTACTTGTTTTCACAGTAGTTTACAGTGTTGCCATAGAAATGTATAATTCATAGTCCGAGAATGTGAGGACAGCTGTAAGTAGAATGTCCGGGGTGTCATCTCGTAATTATGGTAATTATGACATGGCGTGAACACCTCTTTATATGGCATTGTGGTTTTTATTTACGACAAATTCAAAACGGCTGATGAAAGTGGTGATTCACCACACACCTCTGAACTCCTCTAATACTAAATTGCAGTGGACCAATGCATAATACATAATTTTGTAAAACTAAAAAGGATATTAGGAATATTTATATTCTTGTTTTGATGGAAAAAGAAACATTAAAAAATAACTTTGGTATTTAATAATTCATGCATCAAAGGGGTTAAAATCCAAAGTGAAAAATACAGATTTTACAGATATTAGAATAGCACTGGCACTGAAAGGCCTTCAAATGCAGCCAGGAACATTCCTGACAGACAGCCTCAGTGCAGTTAGGCAAGACTTAATCAAGCCAAAGAGGTTTTATACTTGAGAAGAACAGTACGGACCAGCCTTTGGGGATTAAGGAGGTCCTAAAAGAACTAAACCTCATCTGGTATTTAACATGTTTGTTTGAATTAAAAAAAATTTAATTAAATCCCTTTTCTTAAGACTTTTAGTATTTGGTTCAGAATATGTTTCAGTATTATAAAAAGTTCATAACTCACAATAAAAAGTTGATTTCTCAAGACACCTTCTTCAGCAGCACATCTGACCTAGATTGATTTAATCTGTGTGTATGCAGACATTGAGCAGAATTATGTTTTTCATGTTCTTCAATCCTCTTAACAGTTTAGGAGCAAAACAACTTCTGTTGTTTGGGCATGAATATGGCGTTTTCTTTTCTATTACAGCTGAACAAAAGAATAAGAAGCACAGTGTTGTGTTTCTGCGTGTATCAGCTAGGCTGTTCGTTTTGTAATCATTTTCCAAAACCAAACAGGGTAAAAAGCAGCCCACTGAATAGTATATACTGTGTTCAAATGTTTGGGATTCTTTTTTTTTTTTAAAGAAGCCTCCTGATTACCAAGGCTACATTTATTGGCATTAATCAAAAGTATTGTAAAAGCAGTAATATAGTGCAACACTATAGCATTTTTTTATTTGAATATGATCTTTTATATCATGTAATTTATTCCTGTGATGATAAAGCTGAATTTTCAGCTGCTATTACTCAAGTCTTCAGTTTCACATAATCTTTCAGAAATCATTCTAATATGCTGATTTGCCGCTCAAGAAACATTTCTCATTATGATGTTGAAAACGGTTGTGCTGCTTAATATTTTGTGGATATTGTGATACTGTACTTTTTTCACAATTCTTTGATGGATAGAAAGTTCAAAAGAACAGCAATTATTTGAAATATAAATATTGTGTCAAATGTATATCTTTACTGTCACTTTTAATAAATGTAATGCATTATTGCGGAATAAATGTATCAATTTCTTCAATAAATACATCAAGTTTTATAACTTCAATAATTTTTTTTTATTAAAAAATGTACTTTAAAGTTAAGAAAATTGTAAAAACAAACATCCTGTAACGTGTTTAATTTCAGTAGACGTGCTGTAGTTGCAGTTTGCAGCAGTTTACTGGAAATGCAGACCATCCCATCCCACCCTGCACTCCACACAGAACTCTCTGTCCCCTTTGAGGAAAATTAGAGATCCTGCAGCCACCTGTGTGAGCGCACAGACTGAGCATTGTGCCACCCCACACCTCAGTTGCCACACTTATAATTATACATACTTCAGCTGCAGTTACATGACAGCTCCCTTCCTCTGCAGAGAAGCATCCCATTACAACATTTCCAAATTACTGTATACTTACTGTATTATTTTTGGTGTTCTTACACAGATGTGAATGACTGTGCAAACCAGCCTTGTAAGAATGGAGGCCTGTGTCGTGATCTGGATGGGGACTACACCTGCCACTGCCCTTCTCCATACGTTGGGAAGCAATGCCAGCTACGTGAGTTTTTATATACAACCAATACTTTCCTGGTGGCAGTGTTTAATTTAGCCTCTTAAAACCTTCATTTTAGGGTGCCATATCGTTGAGTTTTGAGTGTTTCGTTACAAATCCAGAGTATCTGAGGTACAGCTAATGACTAAACCAAGTAGCAGTATGCCAGGCAAGACAATATAAAGTAGACTTCATGCCCTATTAAATGGTACTCACACTATATTATGGTGCAGGCTGCATATCTCTGTTGGGGATGGAGGAAGGTGGAATCATAGAGTCCCAGATCTCGGCTTCCTCTGTACACTCTGGCATTCTGGGGCTGCAGCACTGGGGACCGGAGCTCGCACGCCTCAATAACCAGGGCCTTGTGAATGCCTGGAGCTCCGCACCCCAAGACAAGAACCCCTGGATTGAGGTTCGCCAATCAGCCCATTTACTCCTGTTAAAAAAGGTGCACTTGTTCAAAACCGTTGCGTTCGATCCTTCACTGGCTGTGCTGATTTAAATCTAGTGGCTCTGTTGTGTTTGTGTCGCAAGTTCAGTGACGCAGGTAGTGACTATTCTCTCCGGCCAATCAGTGATCAGCAGAGTTTACACGTCACGTTTTGGTAACGGTACGGTTCACTTGGAACCTCAACCGAAGTGGTACTAAAAAAAGTACCAGGTACTGTACCCAGTGGAAACCCCCCACCCCCCCAAAAAAAGTGAACAGTGTCGAGCCATACCATGCCGTACCATGCAGTGGAAAAGCGCCATAATAAACCAAGTAGCAGTAAGCCGGACAAGACAATATAATGTAGACGTAATGCCCTATTAAACGGTGCTCACACTATATTATGGTGCAGGTTGTACATCTCTGTTGGGGATGGAGGAAGGTGGAATCGTAGAGTCCCAGATCTCGGCTTCCTCTGTACACTCTGGCATTCTAGGGCTGCAGCACTGGGGACCAGAGCTTGCACGCCTCAACAACCAGGGCCTTGTCAATGCCTGGAGCTCCGCACCCCAAGACAAGAACCCCTGGATTGAGGTTTGCCAATCAGCCCATTTACTGAAACCACTTTATTTGTGTGTGTGTGTAGCGTCAGCGCCCCTCACCTCTGGTGCCGTCTCTGTAGTGGGCACCCTGATGTTAGTCGATGAGGCAAGGTACTGCCCTGGGAAGGTTTCCCAGGCTGTTAAATACACAAATTAAAAGCAAAATGTTTTCATTTCGGTTCATTCTTAGCAAAAAAATTTTTTTTTTTCGTTCAGGTTATTCTTGAATTTTCAAACTGGTAACACTTTGCACTTTCGAATTATGCCTTTACTGTATGACCAAAAATTACGGAGTAGTCTATTTTATGTTTCAGCTGTTTGATCGCGCCGGCGCCTCACGCGCACACTAAGCTACTGCATTCATTGGAAACAGCGCAGCCGTTCAGCGTGCCGTTCGGCGTGAGACCCGCTCCACTGTGCCATATTTTTGCTCATTATGATATTTTTCCGACGATACTGGAACGCGCGTGGACTACAAAGCCTATTTTACCTAATAAGACTAATAGTTTAGCTTCAGCTACATCGCGAATATGGACATATTTGGATTTGTGCCTGAGAGAAGTAAGCCCAACTTTACCTAACTTTTTTTATAAATTAATTTGTTTTGGAATGTTTATTGCTAAGCATATATTATTATATACTGCAATTATATTTATCCATTAGAATTATATATTTTTTCATTCTTATTCTGTTCTGATACGGTTAAATTTAAAGGATTTGTTGTAAAGTGAGGGGAACTAAATGATCCTATAGTGTTTGTATTGTTGGTACATTACACCATTATTAGGCCTGCCGTTATTGTTTCTGAAAATGGAACTTATACAAGACGTATCTTTTATTTATTTTCCTCAAAAAAAATTTTTTATTGTGTTTTTAAAAGCATGCAGCAAACAAAAATATGCGATTAATTTGTTACTGTGGGTTAACAAATTTACATTAGTAGGCTATTCTTATGCTTGGCTTCACAGATAGCAACAGAGTCTGGTCCAAATCTGGTTTACATTCACTTCTGTCTTTTTTGTCTTGATTGCAAATGTTTTTTTTATGTACGATGGATAATTAAATTTTATTTACAAGTTTCATGTTTGTTTATCCCGTTTTTTTTCCCCCGTTGCATCTGAAAATTACTTTCAGAAAAAATTTTTTTTCAAAGCAGCCCCCCAAAATTGTGCCTGCCCCCTCACTTTGTGTGCTCTGGCGCCGACCCTGTGTGTGTGTATATATATATATATATATATATATATATATATATATACACTGTATACTGTATATACTGTACACTTATAAGTATTATGACTTAATATGATATATACACACACACACATATATATATTTTTATATATTTGTATATTTGCATAAAATGGAAATTGTGACGATTGTAACTTTGATAATGGCAAAAAACACACAGATCTGAAAGAGAAACTAATAGAATTGATGATGAATGTTTTATTAAAAATTTTACTTTAACGTTAAGAAAATTTTAAAACCAGGTTGATATTTGATAAAGGATAATACAAAAACAAACATAAAATATATAATTCTCTATAGAAGCTGCAGTGTTGCATCCATATTCACTAAACTCATATCCATTCAGATGCCACATACTGTAAACGTAAGTAAAACAATTCCTCATAGCATACAAGAAACTGTTGACTGCAAGTGTTTTAAAATGTTTAAAACATCCATGTTAGTGGTGTGGATGTTTTTTAAAAGCCATTTCTGCTGCACCATACCAGAAAAAGTATTTTAAAAAGATGTTTTTATTGTAATTTATGATTTTACTCAAAGTAATCACTTAATTTTATTGCCATCCTGTATGCATCATGTGCTTGGCCCATTCGCACCAAGATCAATAACAATAAAGATAACTATTTCAACGTCCACAGCCACACCAACAGATGATAATGTTCTGTTTATTCTAAGCGTGTGTGCTACAGTTATGTCGTCTGCCGCTTTAAATGCTCAAGCTCTTTAACACTGGCTTGGATTGGTTGTCAATGTTCTGAAAATGATTCCTATCATTCCTCTGTGCTGTTATTGTTATAGTTGTGGTGTGAACTTTACTTTTCTCATAGAAATCACACAAAAGAGGTACAAAATAGGACACAGTGATTCAGTTTCTTTTTGTGTACATCTGAAAAGATATTCACACTTCCTGTCCATGATTTTCTCGTTTTAGGTTAACATGCAGAAGAAGATGCGCCTCACTGGAATCATAACACAAGGAGCCAGCCGCATGGGGACAGCTGAGTTTGTTAAGGCTTTCAAGGTTGCATCAAGCTTTGATGGCAAATCATACACGGTGTACAGAGCAGATGGCCAGAGAAGAGACAAAGTAAGAAACATTACAAATCTTGTCTTCCTTTTGTGTCAAAGGGATAGTTCACCCAAAAATCTAAATTCTATCACTCTCATGAGGTTCCAAACCACAAGTCCTTCGGAAGACAAATTAAGATATTTTGGATGAAATCCGAGAGCTTTCTGACCCTGCATTAACAGCAACACAACTGACACGTTCAAGCCCCAGAAAGGTATTAAGAATATTGTTAAAATAGTCCATGTGACATCAGTGGTTCAACCTTAATATTATGACGCTACCAGAATACTTTTTGGTGGTACTCTCATGAACACGCATCAAACACGGAAGAGAAGAAATTGTTGAATAAAGTCGTTATTTTTGTTTTCTTTGCACACAAAAAGTATTACCATAGCTTCATAAAATTACGGTTGAAGCACTGATGTCACATGGACTCTTTTAACGATGTCCTTACTTACTTTTTTTGGGCCTTGACCGTGGTAGTTGCGTTGCTGTTGTAGCATTTGGACCAATCAGACACACAACTTTTTGTTATATTTAACAAATAATATCTAATGCCCCCTCACCTAACCAAAGGGCCAATTACGAGGGTCTATGGACCCTTCCCCCGAAATGCACCTAACACCTCAGAAAGGCAGAACAGGCCTCTGGCTCCATGGTAACCAATGCTGATATCACTGGTTTTATTGCCTAAAGGAATGCCGGCAGATAAACTCCCTCATTTTCCTCATAAGAAAGACACATAATGCCCAGAGAAATGGACTGTTCTCTATTATAGTTGTGGTGTGAACTTTACTTTTCTCATAGAAATCACACAAAAGAGGTACAAAATAGGACACAGTGATTCAGTTTCTTTTTGTGTACATCTGAAAAGATATTCACACTTCCTGTCCATGATTTTCTCGTTTTAGGTTAACATGCAGAAGAAGATGCGCCTCACTGGAATCATAACACAAGGAGCCAGCCGCATGGGGACAGCTGAGTTTGTTAAGGCTTTCAAGGTTGCATCAAGCTTTGATGGCAAATCATACACGGTGTACAGAGCAGATGGCCAGAGAAGAGACAAAGTAAGAAACATTACAAATCTTGTCTTCCTTTTGTGTCAAAGGGATAGTTCACCCAAAAATCTAAATTCTGTCACTCTCATGAGGTTCCAAACCACAAGTCCTTCGGAAGACAAATTAAGATATTTTGGATGAAATCCGAGAGCTTTCTGACCCTGCATTAACAGCAACACAACTGACACGTTCAAGCCCCAGAAAGGTATTAAGAATATTGTTAAAATAGTCCATGTGACATCAGTGGTTCAACCTTAATATTATGACGCTACCAGAATACTTTTTGGTGGTACTCTCGTGAACACGCATCAAACACGGAAGAGAAGAAATTGTTGAATAAAGTCGTTATTTTTGTTTTCTTTGCACACAAAAAGTATTACCATAGCTTCATAAAATTACGGTTGAAGCACTGATGTCACATGGACTCTTTTAACGATGTCCTTACTTACTTTTTTTGGGCCTTGACCGTGGTAGTTGCGTTGCTGTTGTAGCATTTGGACCAATCAGACACACAACTTTTTGTTATATTTAACAAATAATATCTAATGCCCCCTCACCTAACCAAAGGGCCAATTACGAGGGTCTATGGACCCTTCCCCCGAAATGCACCTAACACCTCAGAAAGGCAGAACAGGCCTCTGGCTCCATGGTAACCAATGCTGATATCACTGGTTTTATTGCCTAAAGGAATGCCGGCAGATAAACTCCCTCATTTTCCTCATAAGAAAGACACATAATGCCCAGAGAAATGGACTGTTCTCTAGTTAATTCATAGGAAAACCGTTATTTGAATGAACACACATATTCTTCAGGCCATTGGGTATATTATTGTCATTGTGTATTTTGTCTTTGATATTTGTAGACTATTTTAGTATGCTTGTGAGGGAACCCATTCCTGATCATCCCTTTTCACTATATGTAGCTCTACCATGTCTAGTATCTATGAATTTGCCTTCTTATGATCGAAACAAGCGTGTATA